TGACTTATAAAAAATTCTCCATGTTTCTCCATGCTAGATGTTGTTGTAAAATTTGAAACAATGCTTTCTGAACATATCAAAGAAAAAATTGGCTGCTACTAGCTGCAACTTTTTTCTAAAGAATTTTTTTTCAGCTATGTATCTATTGAAAAAAATAGATCTTTTGGAAAAATGGGTACAAGGGGCCGATAAAGTTGAGAAAAACGGGTATGTTTCAAATTTTGTAAGACAGAAATTTCAGAATAATGAACAAGAACTATCGGGCACAATGAAAAAAAAGATAAATCGCCTTTGTAAAAAAAAATTGCAGGCGGCTTCGCGGCTTAAAGATTTATTTTTAAAACAAAATGATGACCCTTAAAGGAGCATTTTAACCTTGAGTTAAATGAATCCCTTCCATCCACATCATCTGCCGGCCGCCCACGATTACCTTTTTCGGAGCAATCTTCCAGAACTCAAAGAACAACGGCCTCAAAAGTTTCCGATGAACATAAGCAGGATTGGGCTTACTTGTGCAGGCTGCAAAATACTTTACTTGTGCAGATTGCTTTGTAAATTCAGTTATCCTGCCGATGTACTTAACCTATTTCGTATACCTGACTTTATCGAAAAGAAGTTAAATGAAGAACAAGTTGAAGAGAAGCATGGAAAAGAAGAGGAATAAGGAGGAAGAGCAAGAAGAAGAAGAAATGCAAAAAGGAGAAGAGCAAGAAGATATTTCTAAAGAAGATTGTTTTTTGGACAGCAGTAATTCGATGATTGATCAACTTTCTTTTTTGGAACTAGATACAGAAGATACTTCATAGGTAAATGTTAATCATGCGTTGAATGAGAAGATTAAAAATAACTTCATTTTATTAGTCTTTTATTTTTTTATTAAAAACACAAATTTACAGTCGATATTTTCCATTAAATGTAAGTTGTTTAATTTTGGTCAAAAAAGTAGCTTCTAGAAACCATAGTGAGCCACTTAGATTTGGCAAGGACAGACAACAGACGGACCACAAAAATTACAGCATGCTACCCACGAGGAGACCTAGAGAAAGACCAAACTTAAGATGGGATTTTATGAGTTATTTTTCAACAAAAACGCCACGTAATTTTACTGTTTTTATTTCATTACATTTTATAGCAATAAATAAACGTAAACCACAAAAATGTTTAAAAAAATGTTTTTGTTTGCAACCCATAGCTTATTAGCGAATAAAAAATAAATAATTTGACATTTCTAGCTTCCCTTCTAATGAGGTTTGTTATTGTAATGTGTAATTTTCCTTATAGGTGCTAATAATGATTTATAAATAACGTTGAATACTGTAATCATAAAGCGACAAACAGATTTTTCACATAGATAAAATTCGAGTTATACAATTATTATGGTGTAATTTTTGTGTCATAAATTCTTAGATTACGTTTGTTATTTAAAATTAATTTTTAAATTAAATACTTAATAATTCTGGACTTAAAAAAAACGAATTATCAACTCATCAATGTAGCAGAAACCTGTAATGTTATATTTATTTATACAGGGTGTCCCAGGAGATTTCTTGCACATCATTGTTTTACAACGAGATCTATCGACTAAAAAGATTTTCAATATGGCGGCACTTCCGGAAATACCGGAAGTTGACAGCAACTTTCTTATTTTAAATGGGCGCCCCCATTTTTTATTACATACTTAAATTCTCTGCAAAATTTTATGAATTTTGATATTAAACACTCTATATCTAACATTAACCGTTTTTGAAAAAAAAATATTTAAAATTTTTGGACGGAAAAAACTACCTGTCAAAAAAATGTGTATAGCCTAAAAGTCAAATTTCGTGATTACCACAGCCACCGTGACATAAAGAGAAGACATGTGGCTATCTATTTCAAAAATTAAATTGTTCAAATGTCATATAATAATGGCGGTAGCTGTCATGGAATTGAGCAATTAAAAAATTATCATAAATCATTTTTTTCAAATGGAAACCCACTTTTTTATTTCACTAATGAAAAGGTTTTTCAATTCGTTACTTTTTAACTATACATTATGTTCCTATACCTAAATTAAGTCGTTTTTAAGTTATTTAAGATTTAATTTGAAAACGTATATTTTTCTTGATTTTATCTAGCTTCCTTTGACATTAAGTGTCAAACGGTCAGACAATTTATTCCCATTTGTCAAACGAATTATTTTAATTTCCTATATTATAAATACTGCCTGCCTTAAGAGTTTAAAAATTGTTTTTTATAAAAATATATCTAGTATTTTCGCTCTTTAGTGATATCTAAAGTTGATATTATTAATATTATTCGGAAGTGCCGCCATAATGAAAATATTTTTAATCGATAGATCTCGTTGTGAAACTATAATGTGCAAAAAATATCCAAGGTAGATGTTGTAGTTCTCTAGAAACTTCTAATGCACCCTCAGCCTGGGACACCCTGTATATGGCATCTTAATTCTCCGTTATTAATGTCCGAAAGGAGTTATAACTCTATTTGTGGCTAGCGTAACCAAGACGACATAAGCTTCTATTAATTCGGTAACAAATAAAACAAATAATTCTTTTATGTCATGTTATTTTAATATTTTTTTAATTTCAATTTTATAATTACTATTTTTCAAATCAATTAAAAAACTGAATATTCCTTCAAATATCTCCATAATTCTGGCATTCCATCAGAAAAAATGAAATGTAATATGTTTTGAAATAAACACATACCATTCAATAATCCATTGAAATACATCTAAGGTCATTGGCATGCTCAAGATTGTCAAGTCTTTTTTTAATTACATAAACTGGCCAATATTTTTACTGTTCACTTAATTATATACCCTTGAGCACTTTGAAAGTAAATCTCTCGGTATGTTTTTATGTGTCAGACGTTTTAAGATTACTGTATTTAATATGGAAAATAAAAGTAAAGTCGAAAATGTATAGTATGAACATTTTCGACGATAAGTCGAAAATGTTCATACTATAAGTTTTCTGAACTGCTAATGCATCATTAATATTTTTTAAAACAATTATTTCATTAAAATTGTATATTTAATCAATAAGAATATGTTTATGTAAATATATCTATGTTATTCTTAAAGAAAATCGTGCCTTATATAGATATCACAAAATGACTGAAAAATAGTACAAGGTTGATATGCAATACTACCGGAATACTACATAATCAATACAGGATGTGTTAATAAAAAATTATGTCTAAACAAATAGTAACTAGGATGGAATACAGATTAGAATGCTATTGTTATTTATAATTCTAGGTCTAATAAACTTCTTAAAGTGGTATTTTGTAATTAAAAAAGGGTTGTATTATTTTTATTTTATTTTTGCCTTTTAAGGGTCTCAAAGTGTATTTGAGAAGGAGTGATATTTTGTATAGTATATTAATGGATATTATATATGAGTGGTATATTTCGACCCTAGGGACACGTCTATGAGGGTTTTTTCGCAAAAAAAAACATGTTGAAAATCGTCCATTTTCTTTTAAATTTTCCTGTATATTTAGAAAACTTTTTAGAGCTTCGTTCACCGGAAATTTTCCCACAGTATAATATCTTAATATCTAGTAATACGGTTACGGCTTTACTCTATGGTTATGACACTAAAAGAGATGGAAATACATAAAAAATCAAACTTGAATAATTGGTTATTTAGAAGTTATTTGAAAAACTGTAATGAGAAAATATGTTTCTTTTATCGAGATCTACCAGCCCTGAAAATATTTGCACTTATTTAAGACCCACCCTGTATATAATTCGCTGTTGTTTAACCACTATAGAGAGAAAAATTTACCATATCCAGGTATATACTATTTTCATTATAATTGTTAAATTTCTGCTAAACCTAAGAATTTCCACGTTTATTTATTACTGCATGTCAAGGATATTGTTATTATTATTATTTTTCTTTATTTGTTAGGGCTAAATGAAAAACAGTTCTACTGATTTTAGTCCTTTTGTAGTACATATTGCATAATATTATATTGTTGTAAAATTTGTATACTACAAATAAATGATATATTATTATTATTATTATTATTATATAGAACATGCGTTACCATGGTGACCTGTCAAAATAAACAAAACAAAATTTGATTAAAAAAAAGATTTGTTAAAAAGTACTTGTACCCTTCGCACTAAAAGATGTTCTAAAAAGAATAATTTTCGATTGCAAGGTTTGCTAATAACATTTTTAACCTTAAAGCATCAAAACACAAAAACCAAAAACTCATGGCGTAGGCATTGCGATCAAAAACGAAATCGCCAACAAATTAACAGAAGTACCTATTGGTGTCTCCGAACGTCTTATGACCCTAAGGTACCCCATATCAGACAAAACTTACGTCAACATCATAAGTGCCTACGCTCGTACCCTAGACGCTAAAATTGAGGATAAGAATAAATTTTACCAAGCTCTGCAAAATACACTCCAACAAATTCCAAAGCACGAACGAATTATCTTGCTAGGTGACTTTAATGCCCGTGTCGGCAAACAACAGGAAATATGGCCTGACGTATTGGGCAAACATGGAATGGGAAACGTAAATAGCAATGGTGAACGCTTATTAACAACATGCACAGAGTATAATCTTTGCATCAACAATACGTGGTTCATGCTGAAGGGCAAGTTTAAAGGTACCTGGAAACATCCCAGATCAGACCATTGACACCAATTGGACCACGTAATCGTTCGAAGGACGCATCTAAAAGATGTCAGTCTCACAAAAGCCAGAGTAGATGCCGAATGTGGCACTGACTACAGACTTTTAATTTCAAAAATGAAGATCCAGTTAAAACCCAAACATCCACACTGTAAAAAGCAAAGCTACATGACCAGATTGAACGTACGGGGTCTAGAGAACAACAGTCACCGAGAATCTCCCTCTATATATTAAATGAAAACTAAAAAAATCTAATCTATTATGAATCGTTTATCCGATTAATTTAAACCGCAAATTATATATAAAGAAAATTAGTTAAATAGTTTTTAATATCTATAACTAAGTATACAAGATACATCCATGTGAAGACAGTTATCGATCAAACTTTTACAACCAGAATTACTGTCTAGATATTTAAAATACAGCTTTACGCCGATAAATTAGAAAAATTAAGTCTCCCCCACTTATATCAGGCTCCGGCTTACCAACATAGTACCTTATATTCGTGAAATACAGGTGTAAAAAGTTTTTAAATTGCCAAGAGCTGAGAGTGTTCGAATGTGCGAGTGAACGGAAATACAAGTAGATGCGGTGATATATACTGAAAGTTAACAAATAGATCCTTCAAAATTTTGGATAAGACAGGATAACTAAACATGGAAGAAAACAATAAAGTGAGTAGATAAAGATTTTGAACTTACTCTCATTAATAATTTAAGAGTAAAATTATTTGTGGACGAGTTATAATATAAAAAATTGGAAATTGTTTACTCTTACCGTTTTTATACATTATGGGAACTTTCTAATACTTTCTAGCGTCAAGATTTTTTTAACTAGTAAATTATTTTGACATGTATACCTCAATTGATTGTCAATTTAAACTGTCTTTCATTTTTTAATAATAACTTTTTATTCTTTCATACAGGGTGAATCTTAAATCTGTGCACATACAGGGTCGCTGTGATGTATGGAAACGGTCGATTATTAGGTAAAATACAGGAGGTACCGCAAAAAGTTAAATACAAAAGTTATCAGATTTTTAAATATCTATTAGCGAGTAATACACTTAAGTATACAGGGTCGGTGATAAAGTCGTGGCACATAAAAGTTTCATTTTTTTAAATAGAACCCCGTGTATATGATTGCATATTTCAATTCTTCCTTCAACTTTATGCAATATCGTAAAACACAATGTACATACATTGAAGAATTGAAATGTTAAACGAAGATTTTGTAATTTCCAGACATATATAATCTCATTTTATACATCTATAAATGCTAACTTGAGATCTAATGTGAAATATTATTAAGTGCCACAGTTTCGGCAGAATGGCATCCTTAAATGAAACTGAACAAATCGAATTTAATTAAATCAAATTGTTTAAGTGATATTTTCAAAAGTCAATAACTCGGAAACGGTTGGTTTGAGGTACATTGTGTGAATCTCGATTTTTGCTTAAAATTGAAGGAATAACCAAAATATGTAATAATATACAGGGAATCATATTTAAAAAAATGAAACTTTTATGTGCCACGACTTTATGACCGACCCTGTATACTTAAATGTATTACTCGCTAATAGATATTTAAAAATCCTCTTCTTCTTCTTCTTTTTTTATGATGGCTCTGCTACAAGGCAACCGCCAGCTCAATTTGGGAGTGACCAAGATGTTGACTGGCTCTAAACCATATCAAGGCCACTGATTCTTATCTGAGTAAAATGTATAATGGGTAAATTTTAATATAACTAACTTCTATGAAGGTAACCTGTGACCTGTGACTGTAAAATGTTATTATTATTATTTATTAAATATATAAATGACGTGCTGAAAGGAAGATTATATCACACACAAAGGATAGAGGTCACACAAACAGACTGCATTCGGAAACTGAAACAAAAAGAAAATAAAAAATAGAAAGTTGAGCATTATAATTTAATTCTATTAATGTTTAAAAATATCATAATAGTTTCTATTAATTTTTCACTTGGCTTAGACAAAACTGTAAATATTGATAGTGGAGTAGGAAAATTCATTTCAATAAATTTTTGATATAAATCCAAATTAAACAAAAAATTTATAGGACATTCTAAAAAGATATGATTTAGGTCTTCAACAGAGCCTCACAGAATGGATCTTCCTTTACTTTAATTTTATATAAATGGTTTTTTGTTAAGCAATGGCCTGTACGCATTCTAATTAACGTTGTAATATGTCTTCTATCTATATACTGGAAATTTTTAAACCATTGTTTATCTGGGAAGATTGTTTGTATATTAAAATACACATGCTTTTTTCCTTTCATACGAGATTTCCAATTTTCCTTATAATTACACAAAATATCAGTTTTAATTGAATTAAAAATATCTATTGAATCCATCTCCATAGATTTCGGAATATTTAAATCTTTTCCAATATTAGCCAACGAATCTGCCTCTGTATTTCCCAAGATATTGGAATGACCTGGAATCCAGGCAATCCTGATGTCAAAACCATTAGAATTTGCTAAACAAATTAAACGTTTGGTTCTTAAGGTCCAATAATCAGCAGATGCTTTAAAGAGATTTTTACTAATATAACTTTTGTATAACCTAACCTAACCATACTTAACAGCGACTCTGTATGTACACATATTTAAGACTCACCCTGTATAAAAAAATAAAAAGTTATTATTAAAAAATGTAAGACAACATAAATTGACGCTATAATTTATTTCAACAAATTTTGAGAACCACTGGATCTTTTCTAGGTTTTCTTTTTTGTAAATTTAATCTACTACCTATGTTACCATATTATCAGGAAATTATGTTTTTTTTAATTAAAAACTAAAAAATATTCAACAAAATTTTTCAAAAAACTCCAAATTTTCATTTTTTTGCGAAAAAAAAAATCATAATCGTGTTTCTGGGGTCGAAATATACTACCCTGTATACTATATTACTAGCAATAGCACACATAAATGCTTTAAAAAAATTATTTATAGTTTCATTAATGAAATTTGAAATGACATTGTGACAATACATTATACTCGTACAAATAAATGATGTATTGTTACAATATTTTATTCTTGTTTTGTTGTTGATTTTTACTTTATTACTTATATTGTTTTTATTATCTTTAATAATTTTGTATTGTAATTAATTTTTATTATTTACTTTTACTTTTTATGCATATATGAGTTTCATTTTATAAACTATCAATATCTTTCTCTGTAATTTTAAATATTTATATTTGGTGTATGTTAAAATTATATACGTAAATATAGAAACATAAAATCCATTAGTAAGAAAAATAGATTTTTAATAAAATATAAATATAAAATAATGACAGAATTGCTACCAAAACATTTTTTATTATTAAACAGCAAAAATTATAAATTTTAATTAAACCAATGTTGCATGCATAAAGTTTAGCTTAAAGTCATTTTTCACTGAATATTTTATAAATAATATGAATAATTCTCCATGCTATATCCCAATTTTAGGTCCATTCAGGAAATATTATTTATAGATTTATTTTATCAAGCGATTTATGAGTAATTTTATATTGTATTATCCCATAAAAAATTCATAAAAATTCAATTAATAAAAAAGCAATCATAAAAATTTATTTAATTGAAATTCTATTTTCTTTTAGTTCGTAGATATTTAAATTTCTTGAAGTCTTTGCCTTGTTTAGATTTTACAAGTTTTTTCAAAACGTTTTTTTTTTGTTGAAAAATCTGTGCTTAGACGTTTTGATATTCTTATCAAGTTAAGACAAAATTGATCTTGCAGGGTCCAGTCTTGGTCTTGATCTTGCTGCAAGACTCTTGTCAGTCTTGCATTTTTTTTATTGATCTTTACTAGAGGCTCCCTCTACATAGGAAATCTTTAAATAAATAGTATTTTTAGTAATTCAGTGCAAATAAACCTGTCAAGAAAGAATTATTAGAATATTTTTCAATATATTATACTGAATATTATTTTCCAGACTTATATATCCGTCATAAACCATACATATATTGACGTCGAGATGATATACAGACTCATATTTATTAGCGAAGCAGTAAACAGAAATAAGATAAAATACATCTAGTCGTCAATGACACCGTAAATTAGAACGAAAAAAACAGTCTCAATAAAGAGCAGAGACACGAGATTACTGCAATCCTGTTCTCTGTACTCACGTTGTTGTCACGTTGTAAATGTAGACAATTAAACCCTAGTAAAATAGAATCTACTATGATTAAACTTTATGGGGTGCTTTATAACGTTTTACGCTGGGTTCATTAACAATTCGAACATTTTTATCGTTAAATTTATATCACGAAATAACTTTTTTTTCTCTAAATCCCACTTCTAGGCTATAAAATAGAGTTATCTTGAATTAAAACTTATTAAAGAGTATCTCCAATCGTTCCCCATAGGTCGTTCCCCCAGGGTCGTGACTTCTATGAGAATACTTTTTGTTTTATAAAGTCTTTCCAGGCTAATCTGTCTTCAGCTCGATAGAGATAGCTGAGTGTACTTGATCGATACATCTTATTGTTGGCGACCGACCTTTACACCTTTTTCCCTGGACATCGCCAGTTATTATAATTTTTCCATGTTGTCGGCAGGTCTTCGCGCAATGTGTCCAAAGTACTCGAGGATGCGTTTCCAGACAGATAACCAACAGTCGGGTGCTTATGTTAAGCTCATTTATTATTGACAGATTAGTTCTTCTAGCTCTCCAAGGTATTCTCAGCATACGTCTGTAGCACCACATCTCAAAGTTGTCTATCCTAAAATATTTAGCCTTTTCGATGATTTGATGGTCGAGGATTCCACTCCATAAAGAAATATTGAGAAGACAATTGTATGCAGCAAATTCTTTTTTGTGTGTGTCGTTATCACTATGCTCTGCCATATTCTCTAAGACGCGTTGTGGTATTAAAGAGTATATTAATATGGTTATTAACTCCATCGTAATTGGTTAGTTAAAAAAAACGAAGATAATGTAACTATAAACTTGTAGATCACCCTGAAAATAGTATACAGGGTTGTTCACCACATACGACACGGAATATTGTAGCTAAACGATTAGATTTTTACAAATTGTAAGTTTTGGGTTCGTTGAAGGACTATTAGAGCTACAATTTAAAAATATTTTTACAAGTTAGAGAGTGTCCCAAATAAATAAAAAGTATCAAAGTTGTATTTTTTAAATGGAACACCCTGTATATTATTACATTTTTAGTTTCTACGATTAAAATAAAGGCAAATTTGATTAAGGTTTATTACACTTAAACCTTACCGTTTTTGAAATATTTTCAATTTTGTGAAATTGCAGTATAAATTTTAAGGCTTCATTTCTCCGAGGGTATCAAAGTTTTTAATACTAAATATTTACTGAAGTTTATTTATTGATCAGTTATTGTGTTGCAATAATAAAAATTTTACTACCTTATACCGAGTGTCTAAATATTTATTTTAAATAGTTATTAGCTTTAAACGGCAATAACTTGTTTAAATTAAATGGAACACCCTGTATATTTTATGAGAATCAGATGCACAATTTAATTGTCTATCAAATTGTATTATGCCATTTTTTACCTATCTCTTCACGCTTCCGTAGAAAATGCATTTTCTTGTAATTTAGAACTCATTTATCAATATACCCATGGAATACTGACATTTTAGATTATTTTTAAAGATGTACCAAATTTTTAAAGAGTACAGATACTAATATTGTCATTATAGTTCGTTTATTTCATTAAAAAATAAAAAAACTGTTTAAATATTTGTTAAAGAGAACCAATTAATATGATTCCAGTATTCAAACTACATTAATTGACTGTTTGCGTTGATTAATAATAATTGCTCCAAATACTAAAAAACTGAATTATTTATGTGTATTAGACAGTGTGGTAAAAAAACTAACACCTTAAAAATGATATTTCATTTTTTGACAAATGCTTATTTATAACAGCAGAGACATTCATTTTCATAACTTATTATTATATTGATTTCTGATTCAAGTCCACATTTATTTAGAATAATTTATTAACGAACACAAATAAATATGTAATTAATTAGTATTTGGGCGGAAATACTGGTGGTATATTTAATTAATGGTATACTCTTTTATAAAGATCTAAATAGTTTTCTTTTTGCATACAAATGGGCTAGTAATATCATCGTTTTACTAAAAACGATAATATTACTAGCCTGAACATTTTGTACATTTGTTGTTTTAAAAACAATCTAAAATGTCAATATTCCATGGGTATATTGATAAATGAGGTCTAAATTATAAGAAAATGCATTTTCTACGAAAACTTGAAGGGATAGGTAAAAAGTCGTATAATACAATTTGATAGACAATTAAATTGTGCATCTGATTCTTATAAAATATACAGGGTATTCCATTTAAATTAAACAAGTTATTGCCGTTTAAAGCTAGTAATTATTAAAAATAAATTTTTAGACACGCTGTATAAGGTAGTATAATTTTTATTATTGCAACACAATAACTGATCAAGAAATAAACTTCAGTAAATATTTAGTATTAAAAACTTTGATACCCTCGGAGAAATGAAGCCGTAAAATTTATACTGCAATTTTACAAAATTCAAAATATTTCAAAAACGGTAAGGTTTAAGTGTAATAAGCCTTAATCAAATTTACCTTTATTTTAATCGTAGAAACTAAAAATGCAATAATATACAGGGTGTTCATTTTAAAAAATACAAAAATATTTTTAAATTGTAGCTCTAATAGTCCTTCAACGAACCCAAAACTTACAATTTGTGAAAATCTAATCGTTTAGCTACAATACTCCGTGTCGTATGTGGTGAACAACCCTGTATATAACGATAGCAATTAAACTTTTAGTTGCATAATCGAGGGCGCGATTTTTAAATTTATTGTTGCCAACCACAAACATCTTCGGCGCCGAGCTGACTAACTGGATTTTAAATTTCCCGCTGGGGATTCAGGTGGTAGCTCTGCTGTAAGTAGTAATTCTGGTAATAACTTGGTATTTTCTGACATTTTTTTAAATTTTCAAATTTAAATAACCCGGTTATTATTAACTTATTTTAAAAACGGTAAAGATAAAATATATCTCTTTTGGACAGATCTCGCACACTCTTTAAAATACATACACTTATTTCTGGAACACCCTGTATAAAAAGTCCAATTCAGCATGAATTCTGAGTAGGGCTGAATCATAATATACAATACAAGAAGGTAAATAAAATCAATATTATATTCTTTGCAGTCTCACTGAAATCGATATTGTTTAATGTCCTTCAATTTCACAGTTAGGAAAAAATAATAATATACCTATTTAATTACTTAATAATAACAGGTAGTTTATTTGAAACCGTGAAGTAATAAATATGTACATATACAAGGTGTATCACTAAAAGTGTTAAAATAGAAAAATAATAATAATAATTTTTTGTTAGAGTTGGATTATAAATATATTGTGACAACATTTTGTCTTTGGAATAAAATATATTACATTGCTTTTAAAATATTGACTAATGTTTAAAGTGCTCTCTATAAAAGGTCTAAAACTATAAAAATTGAAAATTTTTATTTTTATTAATGTAGTAAAAATTAAAACAATTTTTATCTAAATAATTAACAACTTGAAAAAGATTACTAAAAGTAATTACTGGATTATATGCTTAAAAAGATCATTAAACATTATAGAAGAGCTCTACAGTAATTCATTACTGAAGCAAGTAATTGTCCACTATACTTTAAAAATCATATCCTAGTAGTAGTAGGTATATTACCATCAAAATATTTAAAATAAATGACAACAATGATCACATTCTGTATTTGGTTTGGTATTTGTTTGATTTTATATTGTCGTAGCAAAATAAAAACACTAAATCACCACAATACACCAAAACACTTTTACTTTTACACTGGACGGGCGTTTCGCTAACCATGTTAGCATTATCAGCAGATGAGCAGATGATTATAAACTTTAAAAAGTTTACTACAAAGTTTACTTTTTAAAAGTTTATAATCATAATCCTTTCTATAATTACTAGTACGTTTTATGTCAAATTTTAGTAAATGACGTCTAGAAATTGACTTCGCCAAAATTATCATCGATCGTCTATCACCAGTCGTCTTTGACGCCGTTTTTTTCTCGATCATACGATATATTATAGTGTATAATACTTATATTTATTGTTTACAAAAAATTAGTTTCCTGAACTTGGTTATAAAATATACAGGGTGTCCCAGAAATAAGTGCAAGTATTTTAACTGGTAGTATAGTTCAACCCCAGAAACACGCCTACGAGGTTTTTTTCGCGAATTTTTTTTTTAAATTCGAAATTTTTTGAAAAATGTTTTTTTTTTGTTAAAAAACACAATTCACATAGGTATTAGATTAAATTTACAAGAAAGAAAATCCAGAAAAGATCCAGTGGTTCCCAAAATTTTAGCTAAAATATTTTTTTTTTGGTAATTTTCAAGTAAAAGAACTCCGTTATTTTGGACTTATTTGAAAAACGATAAAGTAAAAATAATGTTTCTTTTATCGAGATCTACCACCCCTTAGAATTTTTTAAAATTTAGAATAAGTGGGAGGGGGGTTAATCTCTGCGACCTTAGAGATCTATTGGGTCCCCCTTTCTTGAGTTATAACTCATCATAGAGTCCCAGGACTTCCTACGGAGACCCGTGTCCCTCACAGTCGAGGAGCTACGACCCAGGCCGGGTAGACGAAACGGTAGCTTGTGTCTCCTGTTGGGTTTAAAGGTAGGAGGTAGGCTCCCGACCCTTAAGGGAGGTGGTAGCTTGTATGCCACTTGCGGAGGATGGTCTCACGCAAGTGTCAGCCACCTCTCCTGTAGTTCTCTTTGGGTTTGGCCCCTTGGAACTTTCATTGTTACTGTTCCCAGTATCGCTAGGGGGTTTCCCCACAGCTTCACCGGTGATGTTTTTATTACTATTATTACCAGATCTCATAGTGTTCCTATGAGTCGCTAGGGACAGTCGGTCCACTTCTACAGTGCCTCGCATGTAGAAGTAAGGGATAAAATACAATGGGGTGCCCCCCGGTGCCCCAAGGTTGAGGCTCTCCGTAGCCCCGCCCGGTATCGTTATATGTCTTGGTGCAATTCCCTGGCCACGACACTACAGTCAGGGACAAGACGATGAGTGAGATGCTTCTTAAACCAAGCCAAGTGCTAGGGGGGATTCCCCCCAGCACCTGACCAGGAGCTTCCCCACCAACGACAAGGCTTTGCATCTCCTAGGGGAAGTCTACCACCCCTTAAAATACTTGCACTAATTTCTGGGACACCCTGTATTTACTACCTGTATTGTAAATAAAACTACAACCTTTTTATTTCTATTTTTAGGGTCTTGTAATTATGATTTGACATTGGTATTATATTTAACACCACTAAATATACATATAATTATTAATATAGAAGCACTATTTTTATTGAAATAATACAATGGATGTCTTTATTTTATTTTTCAGACGAATGGAGTGGATAATCCATCATTTTCCACTGAACTAGGTGACATAGATAACACGAAAAATGGAAACGGCATATCAGAAAAGGTGAGCAAGTTTATATTAATTACAGTACTGTCAGATGAATGAAATTTATGATTAAGATTTTAATTGAAACCTTTAATTTTTTTAAAACCAGTCAAATCACCTTGTGTGGTACTAAGAAATATACAGGGTTGTTCACCACATACGACACAGAGTATTGTAGCTAAACGATTAGATTTTTACAAAGTGTAAGTTTTGGGCTCGTTGAAGGACTATTAGAGCTACAATTTAAAAATATTATTACAAGACACAAAGTGCCCAAATAAGTGAAAAATATCAAAGTTGTATTTTTTTTAAATGGAACACCCTGTATATTTTAGGAGAATCAGATGCACAATTTAATTGTCTATCAAATTGTATTATACAACTTTTTACTTATCCCTTCAAGTTTTCGTAGAAAATGCATTTTCTTGTAATTTAGACCCCATTGATCAATATAATATATGGAATGACGAGATATACCCATGGAATATTGACATTTTAGATTGTTTTTAAAGCAACAAACGTACAAAATGTACAGACTAGTAATATTATCGTTTTTAGCAAAACGATAATATTACTAGCCCATTTATATGCAAAAATAAAACTATTTAAATCTTTATAAAAGAGTATACCATTAATTAAATATACCACCATTATTTCCGCCCAAATACTAATTAATTACATATTTAATTGTGTTCGTTAATAAATTATTCTAAATAAATGTAGATTTGAATCAGAAATAAATATAATAATAAGTTATGAAGATGAACGTCTCTATTGTTATAAATAAGCATTTGTCAAAAAATTAAATATCATTTTTAAGGTGTTACTTTTTACCACACTGTCTAATACACATACGAAATTCAGTTTTCTAGTATTTGGAGCAATTATTATTAATCAACGCAAAAGTCAATTAATGTAGTTTGAATACTGGAATCATATTAAGGTCCTCTTTAAAAAATATTTAAACAGTTTTTTTTTATGTTTTAACGAAATAAACGAATAGTAAACGACAATATTAGTATCTGTACTTTTTAAAAATTTGGTACATCTTTAAAAATAATATAATCTAAAATGTCAGTATTCCATGGGTACATTGATAAATGAGTTCTAAATTACAAGAAAATGCATTTTCTACGGAAACTTGAAGAGATAGGTAAAAAATGGTATAATACAATTTGATAGACAATTAAATTGTGCATCTGGTTCTCATAAAATATACAGGGTGTTCCATTTAAATTAAACAAGTTATTGCCGTTTAAAGCTAGTAATTATTTAAAATAAATTTTTAGACACTCTGTATAAGGTAGTATAATTTTTATTATTGCAACACAATAACTAATCAATAAATAAACTACAGTAAATATTTAGTATTAAAAACTTTTATACCCTTGGAGAAATAAAGCCTTAAAATTTTTACTGCAATTTCACAAAATTGAAAATATTTCAAAAACGGTAAGGTTTAAGTGTAATAAACCTTAAACAAATGTACCTTAATTTTAATCGTAAAAAATAAAAATGTAATAATATACAGAGTGTTCCATTTAAAAAAATACAACTTTGATATTTTTTATTTATTTGGGACACTCTGTATGTTGTAGAAATATTTTTAAATTGTAGCTCTAATAGTCCTTCAACGAACTCAAGACTTACAATTTTTAAAAATCTAATCGTTTAGCTACAATAGTCCGTGTCGTATGTGGTGAACAACCCTGTAGATGTTGCCTCTAAAAAATCATTTTTTATTTTGAAAATTTTAATATTAAATGATTTTTAGCTAGGAACGTTTTCGAATGATTGTTTCTGTTATAACTTTGTTAAATACGTGTTTATTATAATTTATTATTACCATTTTTTAGAATAAAATTTTTAAATTAAAAAAAACATGTATTTAATACAAAATACAACCCAATATAATTGAGCATTATTTGTTTTCATGTTTCTTAGCCAGATTTTGCTTATTATTCTTTAATCAATTCTTAATTAGAATTTATTATTGATATTACTATTATTAAACTAAAGCTTTTCTTTATTTTTCAGACTAATGGTATAAACAATCCATCATATCAAACTGAACTCGGTGACGTAGAAAATTCAAAAAAGGGAAATAGTATATCAGAAAAGGTGAGCCATTTTTTACATCACTATAATTCATAAATTTTGAAATAATAGTATTGTACAAATTATGTCTATATGTACAATAGAAAGAGTTTCCTATTTCTCATTAACTTGCAGAAACTATTGGTATTTTTTACAAGAAAATAATATTTAACTTATGCAAAATTAGAAATCACACGTTTAAAAAAAAATAAATGCGTCCAAAGAACATAAATGTATGATATTGGTTATTTATTATCTTTAATTTCATTACCTAGTCAGTTAGCAGATGATCTTTTTTATTTAGAAAATTGAAAAAACTCTAATATAACGTCAATTTTTTTAAAATATTTCCTCAACGCTTCCCAAAAATTTCGAAATCTGATAACTCAGTTATAATAAAGATAATATCAAATAAATTCCGCATTATTTGTTCTATTAATTCTTCTTTATGGCCTGTATAATTCTATTATCTACATTACGATCAGATAAAAATTAAAAATTTATTAAATTGAAATTATCAATGTATCATATACCTATTGTTTTCAGATATATCATAATCAATAATACCAGTTGCAATAAATTAGTTAATGATAGTAATTATTGTTAATACATTTTCGATTAAAAGCTTACTTATTCTAGTTGCGTATCTGGATATATTTTGTTTATCCCCGAATATAATTAATAAAAACTAAAAACATTATAAATGAACAATGAATATACCGTGACAAATGATGACAAATAATAAAGACAATTTACAAGCAATAAAAAAATTACAAAAAAAAAGTAATATGTTTAAATTATAATAACAATATTTTTAGTTGACCAGCAAGTTGCTGGTGTTTAACCACATGAATAAATATTTTATTTTTATATTAGACGCAGTTACAGCTCCTGGTATTCGGTAGAATGAATTCAAAATGATTTATGAAACATGTTTATATATACTATAACAGATAAACTAACTCTTTGTGGAAATTTTATTAGAATTATTTGAACTGTTAAGGTGCGTCCACATTGTTCGTGATCGTGCTCGCGATCTTGCTTTTGATTGTGCTTGCGTTGCTTGCGCTTCCTGTTTGTCAAGATCTTTCGGCTCCTAGCCTGGTTCTCAAGATCTTTCGGCTCGCAAGCAACGGCGTCCACATTGTAATGTAGTGCTTACGTTCGTGCTGTTCGGGCATGGATGATACCGAAGTATTTTTAATAGCGGCTGCTATAGTGCGATCATGATTGCAAAACGAACGAGACAAAGAGAAAAAAAGCTGGTGTTGGATGTTTAATAGTTTCAAGAGTAAATCCCAGCACAGTGAAAGTAAACATCTACGCGATTTACAAACAGACAGAATGTTTTTTAATATTTTTTATCGCATGTCCGCTACTGATTTTGAAAGATTTATTAACTCAGTTGGCCCCCGTATAGAAAGAAAAAATACAACTTTTAGGAAGTGTATTCCGGTTAAACAAAGAGTTAAATAAAGATTGGCCATAACATTAAGATTCCTTGCAACTAGAGACTCACATATCAGTTTGGGTTATTTATTCAAAATTTCCAAGCAAAGCATTTCAAAAATAATGCCAGGCGTATGCCAAAATATAAATAAAGTTCTCAAAGATCAGATTAATTAAACGAATAATTATAAAAGATTTATTAAAGGTATATTTAATATTATTAATCCAAGAACAAACAACACACAAATATTTGTAATTCTGAACAAAATAAAATAAGAAAAATAATGGTAGTATCATCGTACTGAAGTAAATACCAAATCCTATAAATGAAACCAAACTGAAAACTTAACAAACAACGCAAAAAGTGGGTATTCGCTTGCAACAAAACACTCCGAACGAACCAAACGCGTCGCGCGCGCTGTAACAAATTTGTGTAGTCAGTACGTTGTGCCGAACCGAACCGAACGCGCCAAACATTTTCCGAAGCTTGTCGGTAAACGGGATTTGCTCAAAAGAATTTGTTCGCTGGCCGGTGTTCAGTGGATACCGGCCGGTGTTCAGTGGCAGTTTTGAACGTTCGTTGTGTTTGTGGTGCTTTTAAACTGTGCCTAGCTATGGAGTGGAACAGAGAAAAGTGTTTAGAGTTAATTGATGAGTTTGAGAAGCAGCCTATTTTATGGCACCCGACAAATGGGACATATAACAAAGTAAAGAAGCATGATGCTTGAGTGGCCATTGCTAATAATATAAGGTGCACCGCAACTAGGACCTACTAAGCATATTAGATTCTCAAAATCTTCTGCAGCCATCCTTGTTAAATTTTTCATAGGCATATAATCTAGGTCACTAAGTAAGGCCATATTTTGACAGCGTAAAAAGAAGCGTCTTACCCACATTTTTCGTTCTTTCCCTTTTTTCTCTTTTTTGTTGCCCGCTAATGCCTCTATAATTAAAAAAGCACCAGCTGCTATGGTAATATCAGATGCATTCATGTCGACAAACACACTAATACTGATTACTGGTTAGAACACAGCGAACACCGCAAACATGCGGAACGCTCCGCGCTAAATGTTTTGTTGCAGGTAGTTCAGAGCGCGCCCGGAAAATGTTTTGTTGCAGATTGTTTGGAGTGCGCGGCGTGTTTGGTATGTTCGGAGTGTTTTGTTGCAAGTAAATACCCACTTAAACAGCTCGAGCGCTTCGAATCGCCGCGCCGGCGCCGCAAAGTACGCTCGCATGGCTCCGAAGCATCTCTTTGATGTACCGCGACAGAGCCGAACAGTCGAAACACGCATTTTATGCAAGCACGTGGAGCACCGCGAGCGTGGCGAGCGCCGCGAACATCTCGCTTCGACTGTTTGCCATGTTTCTCGTGCTTCACGTGTTCGTTCGGCCTGCTTGCGAGCAATGTGGATGCAGCTTTATAGCCAAAGCCCACTTAAGGTACGTCCATAGTACACCTGGTTTTCCGCTTTCTAATCACAGGCTTTTATCGCGGCAGATCTTATGACTTTGTGAACCTGTTACATTGAAGCAGGTAGTGGCCATTAACAACCGCTTGCAAGAAGCGGGAATACCAGTCAGGATCATGGAGCTATCCTGTAGGGATTTATTATGTCTTTTTATTAGCTAGTGATAATGTTCATATGAAACTGATACCAAAAAGTACTACTCGTCTTCATGAAATTAATCGGTTTCATTTTGAATTTGGTAAATATCATACGTTACATCCACAACTCACAGCTCACCCACAAAAATTTTAAGGAGGCTACACACACTACTGCAAGCTTGACAAGCATTCTGGGTCAATGATTGGACCATTAATGAGACTTTTTTGGTCATAATTACAGAAATACTTTCAAGATTTATCTTTATTATTATTACAGGCCGAAATTCCTCCAGATGACGACAATGCAGAAAATAGAGCACAATGGGGTCACGGTTTGGAGTTCCTCATGTCCTGCATCGCCATGTCAGTGGGCCTGGGAAATATCTGGAGGTTTCCGTTCACCGCAAAAGAAAATGGAGGTGGAGCCTTCCTCATTCCTTACATCATAGTTTTGACAGTTATAGGCAGACCGCTGTACTATATGGAAATGGCACTCGGACAGTTCTCCAGCAGAGGCAACGTCAAGATGTACGAAAGACTATCACCGGTCTTGAAATGTAAAATATTTAGACTTTTATTTATTTTAATAGAATATAAACATTCATAGTTATCATCTTCAGCTTATTCAACAATTTCCAATTATGATGGAGCTTCTTTCAAGTATTTAGATACTCTCTTTGTAGTTGGGTCTATTGTTGCCTATTGTTGACAATGCGCGCCCAAGTTATCCTAGCTAATTTCCTAATATCATGATCAATCAAAACTATTAGATGGTTATGATATTCTCCATCTATTTTTAATCCTTTGTTAGTCCAGTCCAGTTGACGGAAGATTTCTTCTAGTGTTGATATAAACAGCTTTAGGGATATCGCGTCTCCCTGTCGTACTCTTTTGTCTTTTGCTTTGGGATTGTTTTATACAGGATCAGTTTCCTACGATGTTCTCTATGGGTATCCCGAAAACTACTGAAGATAGAGAGTCGGTTAAATGGGGAAAGAATTGCAGTTTTGTGGGGTCATAAATATGCGCCTTTCAGATTTTTGAAATAGTTCATGGCTTACTAGATATTTCGAAAAAAAAGCAAATTTCGGCTATTTTAAAAATTCTCCCTAATTCCATTACAATCTATTTTAAACAAAAAGTTTTCAGATAAAAGTTGTAGATAATCACATTCCTAATGAGTTTGTGTTCTCCGATTTTTTCTATAGTCTGTCATTTTTGACATATGACACAAACATATGTTTTTTTAAAGGGAAACCATAGTTGGCCATGACTTTATAAAAAGTGCCATTTTTAAGCTTTTCAACGATATAAGCTATAATATGTTTTTTTTTTTTGAAAAATTACTGAGTTATAGCCAATTCTTGAGTAATTTCAACGGTTGTTTACAATTTACATTACACAAATTAAAACTTAAAAAAACTAATATCACTACATACATTTTAAGTTATGAATTGTTCAAAAAACAAATGTTTAAAAAAAACCGCCATTGTTTTGAGAACATATAATGCATCTTTTTAAAACTGAATTGCAAACTTTTCCCACACAACGGCCGGTCGACTTTAATAAACTTCTCCCGTACCGCCTCTTCGAGTGCCTCTCTTAATTCATAAGTTCTTTTCTAAACCTTGTTGGTTAATCATACCGCATAAAAAAATCTAAAATGGATAGGTCAGGTGATCGAGGAGGCCCATGCAATTGGTCCACCTCTTCCTATCCCTGAGTTTGCATAATTATGATATAAATAAATTTTAACATTTCTTTTATTATGAGGGGGAGTCATAATGAAAGTCATGTTGGAACCACTCTATTGATGAGCGAGTATCAAAATTTAACTTTTCTAAAAACCGTAAGTAACGTTCATCGGTCAACGTATCCTTGAAAATGTATGGTCAAGAAAAGCTGAACCAATAATCCTACGCGATTTTCTTCATTTGAAAGAATCATATTTACAATTTTTGTTTATTTTAATTTACAAAGTTTGGATGTGCCAGTCTCACATTTCTGAGAACAACGACGATTGAACTTGTTTCCATGGCTAACTAAGTAAAATTAGTCAACAAAGATAAGAATTGGCTATAACTCAGTAATTTTTCGAAAAAAAATATATTATAGCTTCTATCGCTGAAAAGTTTAAAAAATGGCGTTTTTTTATGAAGTCATGGCCAACTATTGTTTCCATTTAAAAAAACATATTATGTTTGTGTCATATGTCAAAAATGACAGGCTTTAGAAAAAAAAACGGAGAACACAAACTCATTAGAGATGTGATCTACAACTTTTATCTTTATCAACCCATAGAGAACATCGTAGGAAACTCACCCTGTATATCATTACTCTTGCTTTGACTTCTTTGTATATATTGACGAGAGTTTCTATATAAGTCTGTCAATAAATATAAACATTAAAATATAATTTTCAATGTTTTTCTAGTTATTGGTTTTGGACAACTGATTGGTTCAGTTTGCGTGGCTACTTACTACTGCTGCTTGATGGCCATCACATTATTTTATCTGGCTTCTTCATTCACGAGCGAACTACCGTGGACCCAATGCGACCCTGCTTGGAATGAGTATGCGGCAGAGATAAACAGAACGTGCATATCAGCAAGAGAAGTCTCAAATGAGAGCGGTGCGGAAGCCATCAGCTCTTCGGAGTTATATTTCAGGTAAAAAACAACTTTTCTGAATTTTTCTTTCAAACAGTTTACTTAAAATATTTTTTGCGATAGCTAATTTTACGTAGAATTAACTAGCACTGACGGGCGATACTACCGTATGATCGAATAAAAACGGCGTCAGCGATGGCTATGAAATGAAGATCGCTGTCATTTTGTATAGGGTGGCCCATCGAAAACGTTCCGCAAGGCATAACGGCCAGGGTAATTTCTTTTTTTCAGAAAATCCAAAAACACGTCAATTTTGTTTGTGAGGGGGACAACTTTTGCCCCAAAAATGATTGCAAAAACCCTCTAAGCGGGGGTGTCATCTCCCAACTTTTTTTAAATGGGAAGGGGGGTCAAGTGGCACCGCAATGAAAACAGCTTTCTATTCTCTATATTTCCCCGCTTCGTTTTTGAAAATCGGTCGAGTCATTGAGAAAATATGAAGGATTGAAATTTGAAAAGTTTATTTAAACATTTATCAGAGTAAATGATAAGCATAAATTCTTTCGACCAATTTGCTGTTTTTTTTTATTATTTCTAGATGTTTACGCATTTTTTCACTTGCCACAAGTTGAACGATTAGGTGCGGTAGTTGCTAGATTACCGAAGACCTAGATCCAGACACGGAGATTCGAAGCAGGATCGAACAAGCCCGAGCAATATTCACGAACATGAGAACTCTGTTGAGTAACCAAAGCCTGAGTCTATGCCTACGTTACCGTTTTGTAAAAGGCTACGTATACTCAGTACTACTATATGGCGTGGAGACCTGGACCCTCAAGGCAAAAACTATGAACCGACTAGAGGCCTTTGAGATGTGGATATTTCGAAGATTGCTCAGGATTCCTTGGACTGATCGCGTGAGAAATGACGAAGTTCTGCGACGTATGGGAACGGAAAGAATGTTGCTTCAAATAGTTAAAAAACGGAAAACAGCTTACTTGGGCCACATATTTAGAAACACCAAATATCAATTCCTGAAACTGATTATGGAGGGGAAGATTGAAGGAAAACGTGGCATCGGAAGAAAGAAGTATTCTTGGCTTAAGAACATCAGAGACTGGACTGGTCTCGATGCCCATTCACTCTTTAGAGTCGCCCAAGATCGAGACGAATTTGCCAGAATTGTCGCCAACATTCATTAAATGAATACGGCACACTAAGAAGAAGAAGTTGCTAGATAGCTGTTCTGTGACTTGTGCGTTTAAGTTCTTCTCAATATCGTTAAATTTTTTAACAATTATGGTGTACTCACTTGCAGAAAAAGTGGATATAATCGAACTTTATTTTAAAAATAATGAATGTGGCAATCGGTCTGTGCAGATATTCAATGAACGCCATTCTGACAAACACCGTTATGGCAAAATTGTTCGCGATTTAGTAGCAAAATTTCACGAAACTGGTTCCGTTACGAATAAAAAGAGGCAGAGGGAAAATGCTGTAGTAAATGAAGCTATGGAGGTATTCGTATTGGGCCAAGTTGCCATTGATAGTACGCTGAGTACATGAAAATTAGCCAATGAGACCGCGACCGGCGTGAATCGTACAAGTGTCCAAACGATATTAAAAAAACACAAGTTTCACCCGTACAAAATTCAGTTGGTACAAGAACTAAACGAAGACGATTTTGATCGTCGCGGGCTGGTATTTTTGGAAATTCTATTGTAGATCAGTTTAACGATATTGAGACCGTACCTGATCGTTCAACCTTGTGACAAGTGAAAAAATGCGTAAACCTCTAGAAATAATAAGAAAAAACAGGAAATTGGTCGAATGAATTTATCCTTATCATTTACTCTGATAAATGTTTAAATAAACTTTTCAAATTTCAATCCTTCATATTTTGCGGAACGCTCTCGATGGGCCACCCTGTGTATAAATTTATATGGGAAATGTCATTGATCGTCATTTCCAAGCCAACTGGACGCCTTTTTTATTCGATCATACGGTATAATATATCGTAGCGGTTGTTTAATTATTTGAATCCAATTCAGTGATGAAAACGAAAATGATAACATCATTGACATATTCACTAGGGTGGGTCAAAAAAATCGACTATTTTTTTCAAAAAAAATCACTCCAAGTATGAGCTCTTAATTCTAATAGAAAGGTCCTCCGCCTTTCAGTTTTTTATATGTTCCTTATTATTAGAAAGAAAAATTCATATCTCGGTATCTACTATTTGGAAAAAATATTTTACCTCCTATGTTTGTACCCTCCGTATTTTTTTAATTTATTTGATAGAAACTGAGAATGGAAGAAAACTTCTTTAAGTATCAATACTGAATTACTATCTACATTCAAGGAAACATTAATTCAACTTTTCAGGAGAGAAGTTCTTCGACAAAAAGACAACATAGATGACGGTATTGGTCTTCCTGACTGGAGGCTCACCCTGTGTCTCCTGGCTTCCTGGTTGGTAACCTTCTTCGTATCGATTCGAGGTGTGAAGAGTTCCGGAAAAGCATCCTACTTTCTAGCTTTGTTTCCTTACGTCGTCATGATCACCCTTTTAATTCGAGCTTCGACCTTAGAGGGAGCTGGTGATGGCATGTATTATTTCATAGAAACTGACTGGAACAAACTGTCTGATGCGTCGGTAAGTCTGGTTTTTGCTTAATGTTTAACAGTTTAGCGACAATGGGTTGATTTCTACAAACAATGTTTCCCTAATTCAGTTTGCCTCACATATTTGCTATCGCACATTGTTGAATCTAAAAATTCAATAAATTATTTATCTTCCGCTGTACTTAAACAGCCGTTAAACGGTAGCCTACTAAAATGCCGTTAATAGATATTGTGACGTCATTCATGTCGGCGGAAAGTAATGCCTAGCTATAAACATTTTGCAAGAGCACCTGCGGCTTCGCGGCTGAGGGTATCGCTTCGTGAGCGAATGGTCCGTGGTTCAAATCTCACGCCGACCAAGACTTTTTTATATATATTTTTTTTTGCTTATAGCGTGATCTTATTGCATTGGTTTCAATCTTTTTGGTTGGATTGGTTTAGTTATTTGGCGGGTTGGTTAGCGTGGTTATTTGGAGGGTGTTAATTCTTTGGTTAGTTGGTTATTTGGTGGGGTTGGTTGGTTTTTACTAATTTTTATTTGTTTTTTATATTTTTTTATCAGTGCCGAGGTTAGTTGCGTTGGTTAAGTTGGTTATTTGGTGGGGTGGATAGCGTTGGCTAGTCCTTATAAAATTCGTATATTTCATAAAGCCGTCAAGTGCGTCACATCAACGACGTCATACCTATTAACGGCATTTTAGTAAGCGACCATTTAACAGCAGTTTAAGTACAGCCTTTATCTTATACTAAATTAGTCTATACTAAAAAAAATTATTGGCAACGACCCAGCTACGTCGAAACACCGGTTCCCATTAGAACACCGAAGTTAAACGACGTAAGGCGATACTAGTGGGTGCACGGGTGACCGGTTCGATACTCTGTATCGTGCTGTTGTCCAAAGAAGGCAAAAGTGTAAAATCTATTGACACACACTGCTCATTCACGCCGCCGGCAAACCGCCGGTTCGAGACCGGATGAGATCGGATATCTCGTGAGTAAGAGTCGATTTAGACACTTGCCAAGTCGGTAGGCTATTGACCATGATATGGCCGAGGACCGCGGTTCGGATTCCGCCTAAACAAGGTAGACCCCGTCCAGATTAGCCCTGGCAGTAAAAAGGGGACGTTAACTGAAATCTTTACTTTACTTTTAAATAAAATTATTATCATTTATTGTTTTAAATAAAATAACATTTTTAATTTTTAAATGCTTTGTTCAATGAAATATTGGCAGAAAATAAAAAAAAATATCGTAATTCACCAAGTTCAATTTATATTGCTTAATCCTGCAAAAATAAAGACAATGTTTTTGAAAGTTATATTGTGTTATAAATATCACAAACATGATTAAAGTACAATAAATTAATTCTATAAATGTTATCTATATTGTTATTTTGAATTTCTTTTTGTACATTTTCTCTGTACTAATGTTTTGTTGAAAAAAAATTATAATATAAACAAAAATAGGATATAATTATAATATAATACGTCCAAGTATTTTAACTGGTAGTATAGTTCAACCCCAGAAACACGCCTATGACTTTTTTTTCACGAAAAAAAAATTGAAAATTCGAAATTTTTTGAATTTTTTTTTTTTTTGAATTTTAGTTAAAAAACATAATTTCTTGATAATATGGCAATATAGATATTAGATTAAATTTACAAGAAAGAAAATCCAGAAAAGGTCCAGTGGTTCTCAAAATGTTAGCAAAAAATCATTTTTTTTTTAATTTTCAAAGTTAAATAACTCCGTTATTTTGGACTTATTTAAAAAACGATGAAGAGAAAATATGTTTCTTTTATCGAGATCTGCCACCCCATAAAATACTTGCACTTATTTCTGGGACACCCTGTAGAGTCTGTCCAAAGAGAGGATCTACGACAGTCACAGTTGTGTCTGCCATTTTAATTCAGAATTAAATTGTATTTTCTGTCATTTGTTGAATATGATCTGTCAAAATCTTCTCTAGCTCGTTGGACAAAATTTACAGTTTTAAATGACACTATTTTTTCTAAATCAAATTCAATATTATATACTTTGTCTCTGTTAATTTAATTTATATTCTCTTATAGGTCTGGTATGCTGCAGTAACACAATGTTTCTTCTCTCTAAATGTTGGATTTGGTTCGATCATTATGTTTTCATCATTTAATGCTTTTAGTCATAACATCAATAGGTAAGGTATATTATTACGTAACTTCTATATGCCTCAAAAAATTATAAAAATTAAGCCTGCCATCATGAATAGTAGAAGCAAAATGTTGTTAGTTAAAAACAGATTTTTAGCCGTTTTTTTTTCAGTAAATATTCAAGAATAACCATCTAAATTACTATTAATCTTTTAGAGATGCTTTGGTAGTGACAACACTGGATACCTTCACCTCCTTGCTTTCTGGATCGACAATTTTCGGTATACTTGGCAACCTGGCATACGAAATGAACCGTCATCCGTCAGAAGTTATATCCGGAGGTGGCACTGGATTGGCATTCATATCATATCCTGACGCCATAGCTAAATTCAATGTGGTACCTTGGGTAAGCTAAACCAAAACAATATATTTTCAAAATGATTTAAAATATATTTTTCTAGTTATTTGCTATTCTGTTCTTCTTCATGCTGTTCGTGTTGGGTATAGGAAGTTTGGCAGCGTTGCAATCTTGTGCCAATACCGTCATACAGGACGCTTTCCCAAACTTCAAGGCTTGGATGATATCTGCTGGCACCGCAATATCGATGTTCCTGATTGGTTTGATGTATGTCACACCTGTAAGTAACGATTTTGTTATTAATAATTGACAGTATTGTCAGCATGAAATGTCAATAAATTTTACTATGGAAACTGTCGCAAACATATCAACAACTTCCATTTATCTTCTTTTTTTGTTGCACATGCGTTGCTTCTACCAAATTCTACTCTTTCTATCCTCGTCGAGGGCCTCTCGTCCAGGCGCCAAATTTGAAGATTACTTTTAAAAATTTGATTTGTAAAATGCATATATTTGAACAATAAATTGAATGTTTACCGTCACAAATATTAAATTATATGAAAAATACATTTAGCCACTCCGTACGAATATCAATATTCTTTGAAAATCTAACCAGAAAGTATGCATGTTGCTTAATATAAATAAAAGAACAGTTGAATACTTTACTTGCCTATGAAAAGATAATTCAGGGACCTTTATATTAGAATTTGAACACACCAAACACTTTCTAGTCATTTTTACGAGTATTTAGAAAGTCCAACAAAAGAAAATAGAAATATATAATATATAGCACAAGCTTAAAATTAACTTCTCACTGAAGTCACTTGCATCCTTGGCTATATAAAAGCTGTCGATAAAAGAGTAATTAATACAATTTTTAAAATAAAAAAAGGTAAAAAAGAAGCGTTGTTACACTACAAAATGGAAATAAGAGTATGACATATGATTATGACAAGATTATGACAATATGATGACAATGAAAAGTTGGTTTCCATAACAATGTATATTTGTACTTTCTAAGGAAGGAGCATATCAAAAATCTCAGGTCCACCGCGATGGGGCTCAAATATGGCCGACTTAAATTCCGGTTTATCAGTGCCGTTCTAATTTTATTTAAAAAATGTAAAACTATGATGTAGGGTAGACGTGGGGTAGACTCAATAATTTTTTTTTATTTTACGTTGTGAATAAATGTTGGTAGTTATTAAATTTGTTATAAAAAAATATTATTATAATAAAAATAGATAAGTTTTAATAATTATTTATTAACACAAACATCCGATACGCTACTGAAGCAGGTAAGTCAAATTGACGTATCTAAATTCTTTGACAAGTAGTAAATAAAAGCAAAAATGCAAGAAAAAATATATAATTAGTTAATTTAAGTGAATTTCGTAAATGATCGGTTTACTACATATTATGCTTATGTATATTATATTTATATTATTATACTTATGTGTATTATATAGTCACTTACTAGCTAAAAGTTGTTCCATTATTTCACTCGATTTTTGCCGACATCTACCGCACGCTACACAACCAACTATTTTAGAGTCTTTTTCGAGAAATCGTGATAGTGTCACTGTTAATTTAAGTTCTGCCACAATTTCCATTTAGATTTACTACCTTTATACAACTATCAGTAGGAGAATAAATAATAAATAACATAAAATAAGCTCCGTAAAAACTGACAAGTCCACAAAATTTCAAATCAAATTCAAATGAATCGTCAAACAGAACTGTCAAGGATCCCCACCCTAGAGTCCTTTTTCCACCCACCATGCATGAATACATGGATAGCATTATGCTCCTTCCTCAAAGGTACAGCTGGTTCCAATAAAATTGAATACGATTTAAAACATATTTTTATTATTTCGGGCAGTATATTCTATGATACCGTCCTCAATTTCTCTACTCATGTCATGCTGACGTCCTGAAAATTTTTTTTGCCACTTTGTCAAAAGCAAAGTTGTTTTATACAATGTCACAATAACCTTAAAAGAACCTTAACATGTCAAAATACTTGACACATTAAATATACACTGTCCAAATATTCGAAAAAATGTGTAAAAAGTCGTATTCATTTTTTTTGGAACCAGCTGTACTTTCTAAACCGTATAAAATTGGGAAATACGTGCAACTTTTAATGCGCATGAACGCAAAGTAAGATCCTCGGAAAAGACAAACCTATTTAACGTTTCATAAGTGCAACAAAGAAGGTTTGAAAATGGCATGTCGTGATGTCAGAGACAATAATTAGATTTTATTTTATGATTTGATATCTACCTACCGAGAATATATTGATTTAATATTTTCTAAATTTTAATTTAAAAAAACATTAAATCTAGGAATTGATGACTAAATATGGTGTGATTTTGAAACTGTCTGTTGCAAGAAAAATATAAAATAAAACTATTTAGATAAAAATCCCATTTTATAGAACTTTATTACTACAAAGAGTTATCTGATTTAACTTAAACAACAAAACAATAAATGACAGTCAAAGATGCAATATAAGAAAAATTCAATTATACCATTAAATTAAAAAATATCCATACAATAGACTAATTTTTTTTTAATACATATATTGATTTTTAATAGATCATGGTATATTTTAGGGTGGACAATACATGTTAGATCTAGTAGACCACTTTGGAGGAACCTTCATTATATTCGTTTTTGTAATATTTGAAGTATGTGCAGTTTTGTACCTTTATGGTAAACGATTTTCCATCACTATTTAACAATAAAATTACAAATGAGTCGAATTTTTAGGACTAGAAAACTTCTGCACAGACGTGGAATTCATGACAGGCAAAAAAGTAAACGTCTATTTCAGAGTATGCTGGGGCATAATAATGCCAGTTCTTCTCATAGTGATTTTCATCTACTTCCTGTATTCACTACCCACTCTTACTTATGGTATCCATGGACTGGAATACCCTACTGGTATTTTAGGTACGAATTTCAAGAAATAAGGCGAAAAATATTTTGAGATTAATGTAAAAAATAATTTTTTCAGCTTTTGGATGGTCCATTCTTGGAATAGGTATTTTGCAAGCCATATTTTGGCTGTCGTATTACTTGTGGGCCAACAGAGAATATCCATGTGGAAAGGTAAGAATGTTATTAGAATATAGGGTATAGAATACAGGGTGTCTCTGGCTACGTTAGACAATTCTAAGTATTTACTTTTTATTAAGTGATCTAAAATAATTAAAATAGTAGTGGAGTGCTTTAAGGCCTTATGGGATACAAACCTCGCAATTCATTTACTGTGAACGAATTCTTATAAACTTAACGTCTTGTTAATAAGATATATTACAAAGTTTACTCATTTAAATTCGTTGCTTTTACTTATTAGTATTTATTACTTAGTATTTGAGATTTTCACTCCAAACTGTTTAGTTCAGTGAATTTGCTATAAAATTCCGGTTCCAAAAACACCTTAATACCATAATAGAGTATACTGAGTATCTAGACGTGCAGAAACCTTCGTATGAGAACTTCTAATCGAGACGATCGACTTAAGCTTGATTTTCATGCATCCGTTGTCCGACGATACGTTGATACGATATTAATTTTATTAGTAGAATTTGAAGACTTTGATTGGTTAGAAAATAACGCAGTTTTTAAATTTATTGCATGTTCACTTTGAATAAGAAGACTAAGGAAGGAGCATATCAAAAATCTTAGGTATACCGCGATGGGTCTCAAATATGGCCGACTTAAATTCCGGTTTATCAGTGTCGTTCTAATTTTATTTAAAAAATGTGAAACTATGATGTAGGGTAGACGTGGGGTAGACTCAATAATTTGTTGTTTTATTTTACGGTGTGAATAAATGTTGGTAGTTATTAAAATTGTTATAAAAATATATAATTCTAGTAAATATAGATAAGTTATAATAAGTATTTATTAACACAAACATCCGATACGCTACTGAAGCAGGTAAGTCAAATTAACGTATCTAAATTCTTTGACATCTAATCTTTGACAAGTAATAAATAAAAGCTAAAATGCAAGAAAAATATATAATTTAGTTTGGTTTGGTTTGGTTTGGTTTGGTTTGAAGTTAATTTTTGGTTCGTTAGTTAATTTAAGTGAATTTCATAAATGATCGGTTTACTACACGTATGTATATTATATAGTCACTTACTAGCGAAAAGTTGTTCCATTATTTCACTCAATTTTTGCCGAGATCTACCGCACGCTACACAACCAACTATTTTAGGGTCTTTCGATAAATCCCGATAGCGTCACTGTTAATTTAAGTTCTGCCACAATTTCCATCTAGATTTACTACCTTTATACAACTATTAGTAGTAGAATAAATAATAAATAACATAAAATAAGCTCCGTAAAGACTGACAAATCCACAAGACTTCAAATCAAATTCAAATGTGTCAAATGAATCGTCAAACAGAACTGTCAAGGATCCCCACCCTAGAGTGCTTTTATGGTGCTTTTTCCGCCCACCATGCATGAATGCATGGATAGCATTATGCTCCTTCCTAAGCATGTTCATGCCTCCGTTTGTCGGATATACGTTAGTGTTATTTTATATTTTTGTTTCCATAACGATTTTGCTATTTTACTTTAATTTTTATGAAGGTTAGATTAAATTTGTCAAAAAAGTGTCAAAACGTCCGTTATCGTATGAACGGGTCCGTTGACGGGCTGAAGTAAAATATTTACGGATGAAAAGTGGCGCGAAAACGTTATAACCAATCAGATCGCCGTCGAACCATCGTATCAACGTATAACGGATGCATGAAAATCAAGCTTTATTGTAAGTTTATCGCTAAGAAACCACCGTTTGCCAGGTTTTCAAATTTATAACGAATTGCACATAAGGAACGTACATATTAACCAACGCACTATAAGAAGAAGACTAAATGAAGCAAATCTTATGTCAAGAAGGCCTGTTTTGGGACCAGAACTTACTAGATCTTTTGACTAGGACCCAAAAGCAAAGGCATGGTCTTAATATAAAAATTACGAAAAAATGTTAGTATGTTCTTCAAAAGCGAATATCTCCAACAAAAATAAAGCTAATGAGATGAACCAAAAAACAAACTATCGAGAAAGGATGTATCTAGATGATAAAATGATTTTTAACAAAAATATCAACATTTTGTTTTCCCTCGTATAATTAACAGATGGGGAGTTTCATTTTTAATTTGGAAAGAGATACTAAAAAGTCAAATAATTTGACTACATACTGCTTAAAAAATGATCAAAATCGGCCCACTAGAACAAAATATATTAAACTTTAAAATGCCGGTGAATGTATTTCAAAAACTATACATTTTAGTCATATATTATATACTATTCTAATGAAACTCGCCTTTTTTTTATCCTAGAAGCCGAAAATCAATTAATATTAGAGGGTGTTTCATTACAAAAAAAAAAACAAAACTTTGATGTGTAACTTTTTTTGGGGTACCCTGTAGAACTCTATATAATTTTAGAATATGCCTTAAATTGACTTACGTAAACTCACAAAAATTCACTCCAATACAAACTATTGTTCTCCTTGCAAAAACCGCGTCGTATCTGACGCGCCACCCTGTATAATTATATTTCAATTAAAATTTCAATGATTAGAATATAAGCAGAATAGGTATAGGTTATGCATTAGATTCATTTATATCAATAAATTTACTTAGAAAAAAACTTTAAAAATCGAAAAATTAAAAAGGAAATAACTAAGAACTTACTAAAATTACTAAAATAAAAGATTAAAAGCAACGAAAAAAATAGGCGAAGATTTTAGTATTTTATCTATAAAACACAATACAAAAGGTTTCACAATATTACATTCACAGTAATTGAATTCCGAGGTAAAAGTCTCCGGGCACTCCACTATAGAGCTATCCTAATTTTGATTATTCGGTTAGAAATAAATTTTAAAAATTAACTATTCCAGATGATCAGAAAAACCTTTTCTACGAAAACCTGGGCACCTACGGGAGCAAGAAGAACGTATGAATGGAGAAAATACAAAGAAGACGTTTCGGCAGAGTCAAAATTACAAACCGGCAGCTGGATAAGCAGAAAACTTAGATTTGTTTTTAGGGGACATTGAACTACTCGCCAGAAGTATTCCTAATTTATTGACAATAATTATACCTAATATTATGACTAAGAATCTAAAAGCAAATCCGTAATATTTATGGAAAGATCTATATTCACCAATATACAGGGGTTTCCAAGATTTTTAGGGTTTATTTTAGATACAACTTTGATTGTTTCAATAGATAGATGAATTTGGGACACCCTATATATTCCTGCACATTGCAGTGTATATTAAAAATTTCTTTTCATCTGGTTCATCTACTATTCTTAGAAAATACTGCGAAATACTGCTTAAAAATAAATCTCTAGTGACCCAAGGAAGTTACTTTCTCTAACTCCTGTATATCGCTAAACTTTTTACTGTTCTACTTTTTCTTTTTAATCCTTTTATAGATCGTGCTTTTTGATCTACGACAATTAATGTCACGTCGTTATCTTATCACGGATAATCTGCTTTTTACCTCGTCCAGCGTTTAGACGCAGATTTATCAGGCTTAAAATTCAATTTAATTTTCGTGAAAAACTTGTTTTTCTTTTTGCACACAGCTTTAATCCAACGAAAATGTAACTTCTGAAAAATAAGAAAAAAAACTATATTTGCTTATAAGCATGTATAGTTACATTACATTTTAAACTTAACGAGTTCTGTGATAATGTATAGTATTAAAATCATTTAATTTAAAATAATTAAAATGCCTTAATATACTTTTCGTGTACAGAAAAAGAAGTAACGTATAGTTTAAAAAACCTACAACATATTTTGTGTTTTGTATAAATTGTGAATATAAATAAATTTTAGAAATTGGTGTTTTGGTGTTTTTTTTTGTTTATCTATTGAATGATCTAGAGTTGGGAGAAGGCTCTCTTGGAAGGTGGTCCAAACTGTATTCCGGAAACTTTTGCAGCATATTATGCTGATAAAAATAAGTAAAAAAGTTTGTATAAAAGTATGTCTTAAAATGCTTAGATACAGGGTGTAGAAATTTCATTTTTATTTTGATTTTTTCCAAATAATTTCTGAAATAATGTCAAAATTTGGATGAAAGTTGGTGTCTGGAAGTTTTTTGACATGAGAAATTTGATTTTGATATCAATATGACTCCTATTTGTAGGAGACGACCATAGATAAACAAATAAAAAGAGACTGGCAAATCTCATGGTAAAGAGTGGGACCGCGTTCCCGTAGAGCAACTCAGAATAACAATTTTGAAACCATTAGCAGGACCATGGCAGGACGTACGTCTTTATTGCTATCTTTCTTTATTATGTGTGCTTTATATGAAAAGGAGGGACAAAATTTTACGACCAACATCGACAATGCTTTGAAATAAACTAAATCAAGCGATCAAGCGAATCGCTCGCCGCTTGCTACTTGTCATTCATCACAGCGCATGCAACTTACTGCTTGACGCTTGGCGTTAACGAGTACTTAGAACAAGCGACGGATGAAAACCCGTATTTTTAAATACGAGTGATATTTCGCTCGAGCGATCACTCGATTATTGCAATCGCTTGAAACTCGAGTACTCGATTATTGAAATTAATCGGTTTTTCCCATCACTAAATCTTAACTCGTTTTTAACATTATAGTATCTTATCTATCTTTTTAACTGAGATAAAACATCAAAAACAGATGTTTATATTCCCAGTTTCAGCATGACAGATTATATAAAACAGAGTTAAATGTTTCGTAAGTGAAATTAAGTGAAATCTTATATATTATGCATGCTGTCATAGAAAGATATGGGTAAATGGATCAGGAGGTTTTCGAGTGGCGCACCATAACCTCGTCAAATCCAGCCAGCGCGTCATCTCCACGGCTTTCTAGAGTCGGCTGCTGCGTTTGGCGGCCCGGTGCAGTCTCTAGGTCAAAGGTCGCTGCACCAGCGACGCCTGCCGACGCCGGCGTCGCCGTCGGTGGCGTCGCTCTCAGTACAGACACACACTGGCGAATTTTTCAAACGTTATAGCCAAAACTCTCAGGTCTTATGACCGAAAAAAAACAGGATTTTCTTAGATTTAAGTAAGAACAATCTTCGGATTGACAAGGGGTTTTTAACAGGACACTGTCTCCTCAATGAACACCTCAGTAGATCTAAGAAACTACGGCGAATGTAGATTGTCTGGGGAAAATTGGGAAATTCCAAAATAGCTCCTCACTGAGAGCGCCAAGACAACAACCATTTGTTCCATAATAATTGCAAAAAGATCCTACATTGGTATTTCGCCACTGCAAGAAAATCTACAAAATAAAATAGTTATTTTATGTAAACACTTCTGCGTTAAACGCAAAACCAAAAAACCCCAAACTTTCTGTATGATTATTTTTAATTTTTACGTATGTTATGTTTATTTATGTTATGTTCTTAAAAATCAAAAAAGCGACTGCCATACATTACTAACATCTACAGATGCATGAACAAAACATTTATATTTATTAGATTGTATTAAAAAAGCTTCTTTTACTTTTCTTTTAAAGGCTATCGCTTCTTTCATTATAATTTTGGCGTTATTAAAATTTATTCTGTGCCCTGTGTCCCATAAATGCTGACAAATCTTACATTTGTGAAAATCTCCCTTTTTTAAATAATTTTTATGTTCTTTAATTCGGACATTTAAGGGTCTAGATGTTTCACCAATGTTAAATTTAACGCATTCACATGATATTTGGTATATTACATTTTTTGTTTGTTGTTCTGTATTCATTGGTTTAGTATGTGATAAAATGGATCTAAGTGTATTTTGTGTTTTGAATGATGTTCATATGTTATATTGTTTTCCTATCCTTTTTATTTTTTCCGAAACGCCTCGTATGTATGGAATTGTAAGTTGTATATATTGTGTATTATTATCATTGTATATGATTTGGGGTTTGTATTTCGTTTAATGTTTTGTCAGTAAAATATGGTGGATAGTCGTTTTTTATTAACGTATTTTTTATGTAGTTTATATCTCTGTTTAGTGAAATGTTGTCTGAACTTATTATTTTTGCCCTATCATATAAACTTTAGATAAACAAGAGGTAGATACTTAAATTTCACATCTAATCACAGTATAAATGTAAAAAAAGGTGTTATAAACCAAATTGTATCTCAAGAAAGGGGGACACTATAGATCTATAAGTTTGCGGTGATTAACTTCCTTTATCCTATACAATGAACAATCTACAACATAGATAAAAAAAATATTTGAATATATGTGTATTGTATCTAATATTGACGTACAAAAATCAGTGATAATATCTGATGTAAATGTTTCGAAACGTTTTCTGCAATTTGTGTCCAAGATTTTGCCGTTTTCAGCAGCTACTGTTCCTAAATGTGAAAAAAGAGAATACCAATCTAAAATACTCTATGTCTGTTTGTGGATTTCAAAACGGAAACAACCATCAACAATGTCAACCTTCCTCAAAATTTGTTTGTCTTAAAATCTTTGTTTTTAGGTTTTCTCGCACAAAAAATACCTGGCAAAAGCAAATTCGTCGTTTAATTTAATAATGTACTTTCATACTTTTAATGTCCCTTCTATATATCATTTGTCGCTATAACATATTTTGTTTGAAATATATCAATCAGTGTAAGTAGAAACCGCTCTTACGAGTATAAAAGCTCAACAGGCGATAAAAACATATATTTTTTGTTAAAAACGCTATCACTATCCAACATGGCGGAATTTTAATTCATTATTTTATAAAATTGACATGGAGTCGAACACAAATCATCTACATTATATTATATTTGTGTCTAAAAAGAGAGAAACTCGACAATAAAAAATGGAAACTTTGTTTCCAAAATGTTTCGATTTAGCGCTATCTGTGTAGAATTTTCGAACAGCCACCTTGTCAACAACGCCAATCAAAACTTCTGGGAAAAATAATTAAAACATGTTTATCTACCTACTATAATATAATTAAAACATAAAAACATGTATTCCATTGTGAAAAAGAGAGAAAAAAACGTTTGTTGGTAACATTTTTCTTCGGTATCCAGTTGGGAATTGGTAGTGGCTGTTATTAAATTTATTCCTAAAACAAATCAGCTCTGTGATGCGTATAATAGATAATTATAAAATCGCATAAGAAAAATATTTGTATTTGTACTCAGCGTATGTCTTTCCTTCTGCTATTTTAATTATAGTACCCTAAAAACTTGAAGAATGCTTAAATGCAAAAGCTGCAGAACAAAATCCAAACAATGAAGTAAGGTTATGTTCACATATTTGATAGAACATAAATTAAATTATGGAAACTTTTCAGGCACAAAACGGGTACGAAATCTTTGTAAATGTGAGCCACATCTGCGTCTTAAAAGTTTCGAAAAATTTGTGACACTAAGATATTTATTGTTATAGCTAATGTAGCGAAGCCATATTTTGGTAAAATGCTTCGAAACAAAAAGCGACTTATGTTACGAAACATATGTATCAAAAATGTGACGAAACTGTTTTGCAATGATTCTCAGCAGAGATTTTGTTTCGATTTTGTGTCTAAAAATGCTACTTGAGATGATAAAGCACATTTTGAAATTGACTTTTGACTTGCTTTGCCCCCACACTAAAACGTAGAACCCCTCTCCTATTCAGTTTACTATGGAAAAGGGGTTAATCACCGCGTCCTAACAGATTTATTCTGTATCTCTCCTGTCTTAAGTTATAACTCATCATACAGTCCCAAGGCTTTGATAAAAGCCATTATCTCAGATGGTTTTACAGAGACTAGTTCTCCATCTCCGATATCACTCAGTGATGAGATGTTCTAGTGTTTCCCAATTTTTCTCACAGAGTCTGCATTCGCCGTTGTTTCTTAGCTTCAATCTAGTGAAGTGTTCGTTGAGGAGACAACTCTTAACAATCCGGAGATTGTTCGTAACTTAATTAAAGAGAATCTTTGATTTTTCTCGGTAGAAATTTCTGAAAAAACATACTAAACTTAAAACCTAACTAAGCTCATATATTAGAGTTAACATTATGATTCGTTTTAGTGATTTTGGCCATGTTTTTGAGAAAATTCGCCTGTGTGCTTCCGTCCCTTCCTACCTCACTTCTGAGAAGAACTAAGCTCCGGAACACTGGTTCACGGCGTAATGTGGGACTGCCGCTGCTGTCAAATAAATTGTTTCTGTATCTTTGGCGGGTGCCGTTTTTGCGGGTGCCATCGTCGTCGACAATTTATGACAGACGATTGTCCGGAAAACAATAATAATTGTCTCGAAATGCCGATCGTATATACTGCGATATTACTATATCAAATGCCATGTCAATGAGACAATTTC